ACCATTTTAATAGAACTATAGAAGTCTTTTATAAAAATAAACTGAAAAATTTACCATTTTAATAAATTAAATTAGAAGGAATAAACAAGCAAGGTCTTTTAAGATTAGACAAAAATAAACTTAAACTGTCCTTCCTTATAAGCAGGATAAATGGGAGACCAAAAGTGCAATACCAAGTTTATGGCTGTAAACATGTATTTAAAGCGTTGTTTTTTTTCAGTCTAGGTTGTGATGAAGAAATGTAAGCATGCTGAGATTTTCAGGACTTAATCTTGACCGCTGAGGTGAGAGAATGTGTCCACTTGTACAATGAACAAATAAAAAAAAAAAAAATAATGTGTCAAAGTCCAAATAAACATGGTGCAAATCCTCAGTAAAAAAATAGATATAAATATTTACTATACTATAAATAGTTACATAACGAAACTAGATTTAATATGGAACATCCTTAGGTTTTATGTGCCAGCATGGATATAGTTGTCTGTGGATATGGATTTGGATATGGTTGTCTGCAATGCAGACAAACAGCTGCACCTTCATTTGCGTCTTTTGAAAACAGCAAGAGCAGCAGTTCGTCTTTGCTGTGTCACTGTTTTGTCATGTTTCTGTGCTGCTGTGCATGCAAAAGTACTTAGTATGAGAATTATTTCATGCAAAACTTTTTTTTTTTTTTGCGTTTTATTTAGCCGCGCATAAATGTATGCCTATCTCTCATTCCGTGTTGTTCAAAAAGCTCATTGCTCCACAAACAAAAGCGAAACCAATGCTTATTGGTTGTGATATAGCGAGTTTGAACCAATCTGGGCATGGAGGAGGGACAATGCATCAATGTATCATGTCTGGTTTGTCCGGAGACACAGTGACGAGCGTTTCTTTGTCAAATCAGCGTTGTCAAATTTTGATGACGTAACCGCACTGATTCCGGAGCCTCTGAAAGTCCGCGAATGTTATGTGAACACTGGAAAGCTAAGATTCTCTTCTTTATGCCAATCTTTGAATTGTATGAATCGGATCAGCGGATCAAAAGTTATTAAACATTTAAGAGCAATACTTATTTTTAGCTGCGGGCGGCTGTCTCGGTCTTTAAGGGTTAAAACCGTTGATATGCAATTGTTCATGGTATGATAATCGTGCACGTTCAAATCGTGGTAGACCGTCATACCGGTATATTGTTACAACCCTAATTGTGAACATTGAAAAGATTCGCTTCGCATTATGGTTAAAACCCAGCTAATAACATACGGGGGAAGGGATCAAGAAACCTGCCGCTAAAAACAGCTGCGGGAATTACACACTTCACCTTTACAGGAGGAATAGGTGAGAACTCGTCCTCGCTTCTGCAGTCTTTCACCAAGCAACGAAATAACTCAAACTCGCAACCAGAGGCATGAAAGGCCCAAGCGAGTGCATGAAATTGGTGCGTGAAGCAGGATTAAAGCGTCTTAGTGTCACTGTCAGCTCCACGCATTTGAATCAGGAAAAGAGAGACGGATATAAATAGGTCTGGCTGAAGATACATGAATTAGGTTTTATTCACGCCCCAGCCTTCAGGGCCTTGAAAGGGACAATAACGAAAAGAAAAAAAGAGGCTGAACAAACATAAAAGGCTGTAAAAACCAATTTGAGGTATTTTCTTCGACCACTCCATATCGCAGGAACACACTGGAGTGAGTGAGCGTTTTCTAACACACACACAGATACAACCTTCGACGCTTACGACAGAAGCATCTTTCTAAGGAGGCTGTGCGATGGCATGAAGCCGCATGATAGCCGTATAAAATTATGAATTTTTATTTCTTTTTCAAATATTTCTCCTGTGATGTTTAATGGATTATGGACATTTTCACAGTATTTCCTATAATGTTTTTTCTTCTAGAGAAAGTCTTTTTTGTTTTATTCCAGCTAGAATAAAAGTAGTTTTTAAAACATTTCAAAGTCAATATTATTATCTCCCTTAAGCAGTTTTTTATTGTTGTCTACAAAACAAACAACTTGTCACCTTGGAATTACAAGGTTCTATCTGCATTCTGAATGATTTTGAGATATTGAGCTTCAAAGTAGAGGTCTGCATCCCACGGCCATCCCGCGGGCGCCGCAGGACCCCACCAGATTTCTGTGGCGCGGGAATAAATTTCCGAATAAATCGCGGGAGCGGTCGGTAACTGGTTTAATTTGGGATAAATTTAATCGCGGATATTGCTATGAGAGAGAGAGAGAGAGAGAGGGAGAGAGAGAGCGAGCGACCTTTGCCTGTGTGTGTGCTTGGTACTTGTGTGTGTGTGTGTGTGTGTGTTAGTGCGCGCGCGAATGAGAGAGAGAGAGTGAGAGAGCTTTCCCAGATAGCAAAATACACTCGGGCCAGTTCCGGCTAGATTCTCGCCTGCCAGAGACTTACCACTCAGCCTGGCTCCGGCTGCCGGACTCCGCATGCTTGTGGACTCACTGCCCAATTCGGGCCAGATGCGCCGGCCGTAAGCGAGCCGACGCTGCCGCATCCGCGCCGGAATCGGCCCGAGAGTAATGTGCGCTGCGGCCCGGAGCTGGGGCGACTCAGTATTTATATACCTTTATATAAAACCTTTTGGTATTACATTGGTACTTGATACATGGTATTACAAGCCTTTGAGTTGATATAACAGCAAACGCCTGTGTGTCTGCTTGGTGCTTGTGTGTGTGTTAGTACGCGCACGCATATGAGAGAGAGAGAGAGAGATTTGTCTTAGTGTGTGTGCTTGGTGCTGTGTGTGTGTGTGTTTATACAGATAGCTTGGCTGTCTGGACAGTATAGCTGGGGGATTTTCGGTTTTGTTCTCCCCCGCTCTTTAGCGGGATCGGGTGCAGCGGGCAGAAAACGGGGCGGGTCGGGCAGCGGGACAATAAATTCTTAATATAAGCGGGAGCGGTCGGGTTCGGGCTAAAACCTGGCGGGATTCAAAATTTAGTCCCGCGCAGATCTCTACTTCAAAGTTTTTGCATTCCATAGCTAACAGTGTGTGTATGTGTGTGTGTGTTTGTAACATTTCTTTTTAAAATGGAAAAGTCTTATAATGTAAACAACTTATATAAAAACATACCATAATGTAAATAAGTTGTCATTTAATAAAAATAAGTCATTAACTCTATTTTGACAAAAATGTCAGATAGAATCATATAATTCTAAGGTGACGGACTGTTATAAAATAGCTTGGCTAATTAGCCTAACTTGCTTAGTTAACATAATTAACCTAGTTGGGCCTTTAAATTGCACTTTAAGCTAAATACTACACTAACCGCCAAAAGTCTTGTCGTTGTTCCCAGTTTAAGAGCGACAAATAATAACTTGACTTCTAGTTGATCATTTGGAAAAGTGGCAGAAGGTAGATTTTTCAGATGAACCATCTGTTTAACTGCATCCCAGTCATCACAAATAAGGCAGAAAACCTATTGGAACCCGCATGGACCCAAGATTCTCACAGAAATAAGTCAAGTTTGGTGAAGGAAAAATCATGGTTTGGGTTTACATTCAGTATGGAGGCTTGTGAGAGATCTGCAGAGTGGATGGCAACATCAACAGCCTGAGGTATCAAGACATTTGTGCCACCTATTAAATTATAAACCACAAGAGAGGGCAAATTCTTTAGCAGGATAGCGTTCCTAATACTTCAGCCACCACAGTAAAGTTCCTGAAAGCAACGAAGGTCAGGGTACTCCAAGTAGAGCATTTCTGGGATAAGATGAACTCTGTAAGTCCTGCAAGAATGTTTTCTTTGCCATTCCAGATGACTTTATTAATAAGTAATTTGAGTCATTGCAGAGATGTATGGATGCAGTCCTCCAAGCTCATGGGAGTCATACAAAATATTAATTCTTTTTCCACTGCAGCATTACTTTATATTCTACACTAGGCATGGGCTGGTATAAGATTCTGATGGCATGATAACTTTGGATAAAAATATCATGGTATCACAGTATTGTGATTACTGATCCAAAATAAGTTCTTTATAAATGTTTGGGTAAAAAAAATAAATAAATAAATAAAATAAAAAATTTCACCCATTGAACCCAATATATTTTATTTTAGGAAAATAAGCTTTTGATGTAGATGTTCCTTTTTTCGCTGAAGATACTGTTGCTCTAAAAAAACTAGTATATAAAATAGTAAATAAAATAAAAATAGTAAATAAAATTGTATTGAAAAACATCTTAAAAAAAAAAACATACATAAACCTTAGGAACGTTATAATAGAAAACCTTGGCGGTTTTAAAACCTTGACTTTTACAAACTGCGGTAAACCTTGAAACTGGTTATCGTCCCATGCCTATTCTATACTGTACATTATTTCAGTTAAGTGATAAGACTTTTGTCTAAGCAAAGTCAGACCTTACTGTCCTGATTAAACTATTAAAAATCAAGGCATGATCATATTTTATTTTGGTAAAATAAGTGTAATCTAGAGGCCTTTGCCTTTCATTTAAGCCACTTCTGATCTCAAATGATCAACTAGAAGTCGAATTGTTATTTGCGGTTTCTAAAACTTGGATAAAAATAAAAATATCTAGTAAATTTTATTCATCATGGCAAAGATAAAAGAAATAAGTTATTAGAAATTTGTTATTAAAACTATTGTTTAGAAAAAAGTCTTCTTTACATTAAATAGAAATTGGGGGAACCAATATAGAGTGGGGCTAATAATTCTGACTTCAACTGTATCTTCAGTGTCCTTGCTACTGCAAACGGATGTCAGAAAATCAATCATGCGCTCAGCGGGGAGCCCATGAAATGTTCGCAGCCCAGACTGGCAGATTTTTTACAGAAGCAGGCAAATGAACTCGAAGGATACATCTGGATGAGGTTTAGTAAGAAGGAACGCTCTGACAGAACTATTTGCGTGGAGGAAACAGAGATACTGTTTGAGCCTTTGGAGGGAGTAACTTTGCCTGAAAGATGTTTGTAGTTAAAACTTGTGTAAAAATGATCAGAATGTGTTATTTATAGTCAGCGCTGCTATATTTGTACTTACCAAACTGTCCACTCCTGCCAGTGTGTGATTGGCATTGTATAGGGAATAGGTCAGCTGGTACACCCCATCGTTGGTTTCGCTGTTTCCATAGAAACCAACTCCCACAGCAACACTGCAAAGTCAAAAGGTGAAAAGTTGCAATTAGTATACAAGCGGTAATCATATGTACGCTAATAAACACATCTTACAAGGATTTGAAACACCTGGTAGTTAAAAAAAGAAGACTGTATAAACATGCTTTATGTTCAGCAGGATTTTCAGGAAATATTTTGGCTGGTTTTACCAAGATTTTGGTTATCAAGCATCCATTTGTAATGTTTAAAACAAAAATAAAAATTATAAAACAATATTGCAAAATAGCCGCAGAATTAAACGTATGCCAGAGTAATTGCTATATTGAGTAATTGGATAGTGAGTGAGTGATATGAAAAATGTAGCCAAGTAAACACTAAAGGACTGCAAACATATATTTATTTTGGTCAAAAATATTTAAATTTTTTTTTGTTAGATTTTTTACTAGTAAAAGTAAATGTGTTATTGTATTTCAGAACATAATCACCATTATACATTTTCACCATGATTTAAAAAAAAATATGTTCACTGAGGTTGTACTTTCAACTAGGTACAGTGAGCTTGAACCGTGCCTAAGCAAGCTTGCACCCTCCTCCCTTCTCTCCTTACGGCCTGTACTCACATTGCATCCGAGCCTGAGCACACTTACGTCATCGATAATGAGCTGCTCAGTTTAACAGAAGAGAAGCGCTCTCTCTCAGCACAGTAGAGATTTCTTTAGTTATATCAGTTTAGTTGTTTGATAGTGACACGCAGTCAAATATTTCACCGAACAGATCAGCCACTTTTGACGCTCATAAACAATCATAAAGTCCTTGTGCTACAGGAATCAGGTTTGCTGAATGTGCAAAAAACCTGGACTGAAGGCAATCTATATGGATCTGAAGTTAAATGACTGGAAAATAAACTCACTGTAACAGGGTGAATGCTGCATACATGCCACACACAGGTCTTTAATATTCAACAGGAGCCATACTGAGCCAGAGGCGAATGTTCAGAGCTGAGGAAATAACAAACAATATGGTGCCTTCTTCCAGTGAGAACAGCTCACAAACACTAGAACCAAACTACACATCTACAGTTTTCAGAACAATAAAATAAAGCACTAATAGAATCATTTCCGTTATCAAGTCACAATTAGTCAGCTGACATACATTACTGTTTTCGCCTGGTATTACCGTTCGTGCAAATGCATATGACCACTTTTGTTCAGATTTCTTTGACAGCTTTCCTTCGTATTTCATCTTACTTCTACACAATCTTCTTAATAGTCTTTAATAGGGTGCCCAAACCCATTTTACAAGATTTATGAGCAAGCAGAAATCAATTACACTGAAAAGGATGTGGACACAATTATGATTTTGATACTGTGGCACAGCAAAGTATGAACTCTTTGACTATTCTCAATTCCAAGAATGCAGAGAACGGACTTGCGTTCTTGTTGAGACCGGTCTTGCCAGGTGTCCTCGGAAGAACGAACTCAGGAGACCGCTAGGGCAGAGAATGCGTCCTTTGAGAAATGGGATGCTGCGTTCTTCCTAAAGGTCATGTGACCTTCACGCGTTTTAAATGGAAATTATTTAAACATTACAGCACTCATACAACGATTTATTGTTTCCTCCCTCTTCAAAATATATACTTTGCATAAAAACATTATAAATGTACTCTGCGAAATATAATGAAAAAAACATTTTAATACAAATTTCAGCAAACAAACAACCCTTAATGTGTTTATTCCTTTATTAAGATATTCATGTTAATGTTTACTTTCACCGTTTCATTTAGGGAAACACCCGAGGTAAATAAGTGATACTTTCCGATACTCTGATACTCTCTGAACTTTAATAATAAATTTAAATAAAATGCTGCGCTTTCCACCTCCAGTCGTAATGACTTCTGGGACTTCCAGAGCGAGTTCGGTGCTCAAGTCTGCATCAGTGCGCCCTTGATATCAAGATCACATCCGGGAAGTTTCACGCGTCCTCCGTACTTGCAGTCTTGAGTATTGGAACTAAACTTAGGCAGCTGATGATGACGTTGCACGAGAACACGAGAACGCAAGACCGCTGAAGAACGCATATTGAGAAACAGCCTTTGTTTAGGTGTACTTTCATATTAAAAGTCCTATAATGTTCAATATGAAAGTATACTTTCATATTAAAAGTCCCATCATCATCCACTTCACTGGCAAAAACACATCTTAACACTAGATGAACACACTTTTGTTTATGTAAAGCACTTTGAATTATCATTGTGTATTAAATATGGTTTATAAATAAACTTGCCAAGCCTTGCCTAGATGAAAAGAACTATTTTCTACACATAAATGATAAATGTGTCATCTTGTATTAATGTTACTCCAAACCTGTATATGCAGAAGGTCTCATTAACTTACATTGAAGGAGGAGTGTATATCTGGATACAAGAATGTCATAAAAACTTTGAGCTATTAAACAACAGGCTACTAACCATCCCTCTATCATAAAACAAAGCCACTGTTTGAGTTTCATATTAAAAGCATCTACAGAGATACCCAATAATATTGCACTGGCAAAGACATACTCATGACGTTTCACTGTAAACAACATACTCCAAACCCAACCATCTATCTCACTACACAGCTCTTCATGATGAAACAATGGTCTGAATGTGAGATTAAGCATGATTGAGTGGGCCATCTGCAACATAAGAGAAGCAAGTTAATGAGGCTTTGGCATGAAACCGAAAATATTAGCGTGAGAGCCCATTCTCACAAAACCACCAGGGAACAGGGAGCATCTCGTAAAGAAAGAGAATGATGTCATCAAAACAGCCAGTCTCATTCTTGTTCTGAGTTATTTGGTTCAGTAGCCCCATGAGATCCAATGAGGTCAATAATAGCACACAGGAAGTGAAGTCATTTCCTGCACTGCATTGTTAATATAAGCTGCCCTTTAAAGTGTAATGCTAACCAAGCCTCTTTTATGTTAGGGTGTGTTGGCACTTGCGGTTCAAGTTCTCTTTTGGACATCTGGTCAGGTATAAAGAGCCTGGTTTCACTCGAGGTTTTTTCCTTCACTTTTGTCAATTGGTGAAGCTTGTTTCCCGCCACTTGCTTGCTTGGTTTGGGACTTGTGGAGCTAAGCATCGATGGATTTGCTCTTCAGTGTTAAACTTAAAAATTAAACCACAATGCACTGAACTAACCTGAGCTTCAACTTTGAAAACTGGACTGACGCAGTTTTAATTGACTAGAACTTCAATGTTAAGCTGCTTTGACACAATCTTTAACTAAATTAAAGAGGAAAATGATGCTTTTAATAATAATAATAATAATAATAATAATAATTTGAATTTTTATTTTATTAAATTTTTTTTAAAGATTTATTTTTGGCCTTTTCCCCTTATTAGATAGGACAGTATTGAGACAGGAGGCGAAGTGGGAGAGAGAGAGGGGGGGTAGGGAAGGGAAATGTCGTCGAGCCGGGATTCGAACTCACGACGTCTTGACGTGCTATTGCACCATATGTCGGCGCGCTAACCACTAGGCTATTGCATTGACAATTTTTATTTTTATAGCGCCTTTCCAGAGCTCAAGGACAATTTACAAGGAATGCGACAAAAAGATAAACAAACATACATGAAGTCAAAGATAACAAACTGAAATTACACAAACAAGACCTAAGAGACATATGAGGAGAGTGGAGGTGGATCAGATAAAGTAGTCAGTTTGGTAGATCAGAAGTGAAGCATTCAGAAAATCAGTGAGTCTTAAATAAGGATTTGAATTCAGAGATATTATTAGCAGAGCAGAGTGAGCGTGGTAGAGAGTTCCAGAGTTTGGGTGCATTAACACTAAATGATCTGCCCCCCATTGAAGAGAGGCGGTACCGAGGGACAGCGAGATGGCCAGAGTCAGCAGAACGTAAAGAACGAGTTGGGGTGTAGGGGACAAGCATGTTGCAGAGATAGGAGGGTGCTAGGCTATTTTTAGTCATAACTCATTAAAAGTACTTTCTAGAACAAACCTAAAGACACAAAACAAACAGATAAACAAAAAAGTGGCTTTTATTAGGAACATTTTTGCAGATGAAACTAACCAAATACAGTTGAAGGCAAAATGATTAGCCCTCCTATGTGATGGTCAATAGAAAGAAGATTTTCTTCTGCAAATTGGTAAACTTAATAGTTTCGATAGCTAATTTCTAATAACTAATTTCTCTTGACAGCGGCTCAGTTGGCATTTCTGTGTGGAATTTGCACGTTCTCCCCATATTCGTGTGGGTTTTCTCAGGTATAGACATTTCCTTGATTGAGAATGACGTTGACTGCAACTTTGTCATACACAACGCAGTGGAGACACAAGGCTGATTAAGGTGACCCATACCGAACCATACCGTAACATACAACCCAGTGGAAATGGAAACTGAAAATGGAAGTGGATATTTCTGTCACACATGGACAAGCATGTAGGGCTGCTCGATTATAGAAAAAAAAATCTTATTTACGATTATTTAGGTCATAAACTGTAATCACGATTACTCAAAACAAATACAGTTGAAGTCAAAATTATTCACCCTCCTGTGAATTATTATTATTTTTTAATAAATATTTCCTAAATTATGTTTAACAGAGCAAGGAATATTTTAAACTATTACCTATAATATTTTTTCTTCTGGAGAAAGGTTTATTTGTTATATTTTGGCTAGAAAAAAAGGAGGTTTAAATATTTTGAAACCTAATTTAAGGTCAGTATTATTACCCCCCTTAAGCAATATATTTTTTGATTAACTGCAGAAGAATCTACTGTTTTGCAATGACTTGTCTATTTACCCTAATTAAGGCTTTGAATCACACTTTAATCTGAATGCTTGTATTTTGAAAAATATCTAGTAAAATATTATTTACTGTCATCATAGCAATTATTAAATAAATCAGAAGGGCCTGATGTATTATAGATCCTGAAGGGCCGCAGCTCTGCTCAGTTAAGTTCCAGCCCTAATTAACCACACCTGATAATTGAGTCCTTCAGGCTTGTTTAAAAGCTACAGGTAAGTGTGT